TGCTGTTAGAAAATATTTTTTGTCCAAAAACTCTTAGCTTAGTTTTTAGTTGTGCATATCTAGATTTACATTTTTTAAATTTTTAACTTTTATCATATCTTTAAATTTTTAGCCGTATTCTATTTTTGTAATTTTTATTATCTTATAAGTGTAAATAGTTTTTAATCTTTAACTTAGGATAGAGGGCCACTGGTTTGTCAGTTTTTTACTGTTATGTGTTACCCTCTGTAAATAAAGTTGTTACTTACTTACTTACTAAAAATAAGACTGGACACTATAAAAATTAAGTTTCTAATATGAATTTTACATACGGCTGCCATCTAGCCTGAAAGTAAAGTTCTGTCTTGTTTTTCATAGCAATATATTTCTCAGTTCTAAATTTCACTTTGACAATTTCCTCAAAAACACCTAGATTGGGAGTTACACCACATTTCCTACTTATCCAAATATGTAGTTTAACAAGCGCAATACAGTAATTCAATAGTTCTATTTCTGCATCTAATTTACCTAATAACACTTCTTATAGCGTGAGGTCCACTCTTTAGCCAGAAACCAAATACCAAAAGGAAGCAAAATCAGTCCAGATTAGGTTTGTGAAAGAGCACTCATAAAATAGGTGATGTACAGTTTCTGATTCAGTTCCACAGAATGTACACAGGTCATTTGGGACATAGCCTATCTTTGCTAAGCGGTACTGGGTAAAACTACTATCACTCAAAATCTTGAACTGGAAGCTCCTTACAAAGGTTTCAGACGAGATGGATCTCACATTAAGAAAAGCTTTGGAAACAGCTGTGTCGCCCAGGCAAAATTTCTCTTTCCACTTAATGAAACCTCTTGAGACTCTAGCTTTTCTCAAGATAAGCAATTCATAGAAATGTTTACCTCTAGTTGTTGATCGATTAAAACGTTTTTACCCATACTAAAATTCTAAGGAGTTCAATTCGTTCTCATTAAACTCTAATGTTTTAGATTGGGTGGAATAGCCTGGCGAATTCCAGTCCAAAGTAAGAAATTTGACTGTTTCAAACCTTTTCTTTTTGCAATGTTATAGGATTCTAAGTTGTTCATATTTTATATTATTATATGGAGAAGAGTGTTTTACTGGGAACTAAACCACTCGTAGATTCCATACGCCCCTTCATCCGGGACCCGAGTGGCGTATTTTCCGTATGTCACCTTTGTGAGTGTCGTATCGTTCAATGACGTCACGATTCCCGCCTTTTGCTTTTGTTGAATTGGTTTCAATATTTAGTCTCCATATAATAAAAAGAACATTACACGTTGGCTCGAAGATATCAATTTTATGTTCTCGTGGCAAGAACATAAAATTCATATCTTCTTGCCACCGTGTAATATCCTCTATATATAAGCCAAGAAATTTCGGAGATTTGATTGGTTGATAGTATCACTATTTCCGTGTAATAGTGGTATAACAGTAAAAATGGATGGTATAACAAGGTTACCAAGACAACACTGAACACAAAAACGTTTTTGCTTATGTTTTCAAAACAATGGTGGCAAGGTTGCCGGAAATTTCCGGTGAGGAAACACAAAAGCTCGCCGAAAAAGCAGTAAACAAAAATACAGTTAAAACTACTAAGATGTGGATGAAAGTTTGGAAGTCGTGGGCAGAAAGCAAGGGTCTTAACAATAACATTGTCAAATACGAAGCTCAAGAACTGGATGAATGTCTATTGTGATTCTTTGCCGAAATTTGCAAAAGCGATGGCTCCAACTATGAGCCGGACAGCTTAACGGTTATGTTAGCTGCCCTCGACAGAAACCTCAAACAAAATGACAGCAAAATATCCATAGTGAAGGACCAAGAATTCATCAATTGCAGACAGGTCCTGGAGGAAAAAGCAAGAGCTCTTTGTGAAAAAGATCACAGAAAACGACCTAATGCAACTAAAGCACTTACTGTCCAAGATGAAGAACAGCTATGGAAAAATCGTGTAATTGGCAAACAAAATCCAAAGTCACTACTTTATGCTCTGTGGTATCTGCTCACCCTACATTTTGGTCTTCGAGGTTGCCAAGAACACCATGAAATGTTTGCTGAAGATTTCAGCTTGAACAAGGACCACCAAGGCGCAGAGTATGTAACATTTGAAGAAAACCCAACAAAGACCTGGCGAGGCGGTCCAAGAAAGAAACAAAGAGCCACCTAGCCAAAGATGTTTGCCACTGGTGGTCCCCGTTGTCCAGTCCAGTCCTTCAAAACATATCTTGCCCACAGACCTGAAGAAATGCGAGTGGCCCGTTTTATCTCGCCATGATTGAAAAACCGAAATCCGAAGTGTGGTACAAGAAACAGAGGATGGGTGTCAATAAGATCGACTCCTTCATGAAGAATATGGCTTTGGAAGCGGAATTGAATGTAGAGGGAAGACAGTTAACCAACCATTCGGTAACAAAAACGCTTGTGAAGAAGCTGAAGACCTTGAATCAGCGAAGAAGTACGATCATCGGTGTTACAGGTCACACAAACGAGCGTTCACTGGCAGACTACAAGCAAGGTGATGAAGCAGAAAAGCAACACATCTCCTCCATCATCGACTCTCCTATCAGCCAACAGGTTCAGAATTCCCGTCCAGTTCTCTCCAGTTTGTCCATTCAGCACAACCCTACAGCAACACCAGCCTGCCAAACAGTAGTCCATCACTTTCATGGCTGTCAGGTCACAATAAATTATGGAGCTGGCATTGTTGAGTATCCTCCTCATCCTATCGCAAGTTGTGAGTTTAAACCACTTTGGTTCAAGAATCAAGCACAGGTGTCTACGCATTGATGGAGAACTTGTTTGCGAAGAATTTTCCAGGATTTTTTACAACTTATGGCGATTACATTGTACATGCTAGCAGAAATTGTACGAAGTTCGTTTACTGGTCCTGGCAATCCGAGTGAATTGTGCAGCTTAACATCTTTGCCGTGTTGCGATCTTAAACCGTTTTCAAGAGTCTCATCTCCTTTGGAGGGCGAATAGATAAGCTCCTTCGCGAAAACAACAGTCCTAAGACAAGGCGCAAATTGCATTGCACTTACTTTGCATAAACTTTCAAGTTATGTTTTTTTGCGGATAACTTCCGAGAATTTGCGACCCTTAACGCAGTTTATGAAGAAATATTAAAGCTACATGTTTTTATTGAGTCAAGGCAGGAGTACTTTTAAAAAGGAACTCATTTATAAGGGAAGATGCGGCATTCTGT